TGTGTGTGTGTGTGTGTGTGTGTGTGTGGCCAGCTCAGCCCACCAGGGGGCGGGCTGGCTGGCATGTGGTGCTGGGGGATTGAACCTTGGTCCCTGGGCTTTGCTAAGCTTGTTCTAAGTAGGTTCTTTAGACCACTGAGCCATCTCACCAGCCCCTGGTACTATGTTTAAAGCAGTTGAAAATAAGGATTTTTCAGGGCCAGGGATATAGCTCAGTGGCATGAGTGCTTGCCTGGCAAGCAGAAGGTCTCAAGGCTGATCCCTAGTTAAAAAAAAAAAAACAAAGAAAAGAAATGTGGATTTTCATATGAAGTATTTTGATTTTAAATGCTCTAACTGTCCATTTTTTTTCCTTTTTTCCTCCTCTCCAGCTTCTAAATTGCTTTTACAATTTACAGAGCAGGGAAAAACAAATACTTTGTCTGGCCACCTGAGCTGTAGGGCTTTAAATAAATGCAAATTCTGTGTGTCTGGAGTGCCACAGGCCCCCACTAAGTGCACATTAAATGTGAAGTCTCTTGCTTAGCAGAATGCATGCTCCCCATTAGGTACAGTGGTGGTGGGGGGGATTGTTCCTACTGATTTTTTGCTCTTTGGGTCATTTTTATGCTGCTACCAAACTTGGATAAGAGTAAAGTGTAAGCAGGTAGCAGGAATAAAATAATGATGCACAATTGTACCTAAAAGTGGAGTGATGGGCTTACCTAGCTGATCTGTCTATCTATCTATCTATCTATCTATCTATCTATCTATCTATCCATCCATCCATCCATCCATCCATCCATCCATTCATCCGTCTATCTTGGTATCTTGGTATCTTGAGACAGGGCTTCACTGTGTAGGTCAGGCTGGCCTTGAACTCATTATGTAGCCCAGGTTGGCCTCATCCTTGCAATGATCCTTCTGTCTCTCCTGAGGGTTGGGATTAGATGGGTACAACATCACATCTGGCTTTGTTTTTCCATCTTGAGCTGGAAGTAGAGAAAAGAAAGCATTTGTGTCTCAAATCCATTGGAGATGAGATCCCAGGATACCACACGTGGCTGAACCAGTTGGCTTTGATCATGGCTTTCCTCGCAGTCCCATGCACATGTTGTGGTGTAAATCATGTTGACAGTGTCCTGAGTTTGTGAATGGCAACTTTGGCCAGCTAACTGGTCAAAGGTCAGTTGTAAAACTGACCATGCCCACCTTGGTTGATTTAACATTTTGTAATGCTCTGCCTTCTGCTTCTAGGCTTTCCATGGTAAATTTTCTCTGGATTGTCAAACCTTACTTTTGTCCATCCTTAACTTCCATTCCTGCCTAGTCATGAGTTTGTCACTGTCAGCAGAACTCCTTCAGTAATGAAGATTTTTAACTCAAATCTTGGATTAATGTCTAGAATAATGTACAGAAGAAACATCAATTTTGCTTACACCATTTCAGAAAACTATTGTTTTCATAATGCCTGGGAATGTTAGATGCAGAACAGCTTCTAGAGCTGTTCAACACACTATCTCTCTTTGACTACATTGCTTATAAACTTCTAGTTTCTTATTGATATCCCATCACCTTACCAATTTGCATCTTATGGTAGGTGACAGTAGAAATGTATGAAAAACAATGAAAGGGTCTACCAGTCAGTCATGACTTCACCGAGAGTATATGTGTTCTTAGAGGACACATCCAATGATCTTATAATATACAGTACTCAACCTTGTAATTTTCCACTTGGGCATGGGTACTTCTACCGTATAGTTGCCTGGTTATTAACTTATTTGCACTCAAGTTATCTCATTATCTGATAAACTATATTTGATGAAAATCAAAATTATATGTAATTAACCATTCGACTGGGGGAAAACAATGATTCTAGATCCACATTTTGCATGATAGCAACCATCGCTAGGGGAATTTGTAAGGAATATCAAATATTGGAATCTGCTAGAGTTGGAGATGGGAGGGGAGATGGAGACTGGGGAGATGGAAGCTAGGGTGTTGATGATCTTCTTATCGGGATGGTCAGCTTGGGATTCATGTAGATAGGAGGAAGCAAAGCCTCCAGCAGCGACAGTTGAGCGTTGTCACCAACCTCTCAGCTTTTGTTCCATGGTCTCCCATCACAGGTGTGACCGACGCAATGACTGTGGTGACTACAGTGATGAGAGGGAATGCTCATACCCGGCCTGTGGGCAGAACCAGTTTACCTGTGAGAATGGGCGCTGCATCAGTAGGGCTTTTGTCTGTGATCATGACAATGACTGTGGAGATGAATCTGATGAGCAGGACCACCTGTGCTCCACCCTGCAACCCACGTGCCCGCCTCACCAGTTCAAGTGTGACAATGGGCACTGCATTGAGATGGCGAAGCTCTGCAACCATGTGGATGACTGTTCGGACAACAGTGATGAGAAGGGCTGTGGTAAGTGTGAAGCCTGGGGACAATGAGGCAGGGGCCCTTAGGTAGCGCTCCATTCTTCAACACTTGCTAGGACTTGTAGTCTGTCCTCTATATTGAAAATTTCCAAAAAATCACTACCACTTCTTTATTAAAAGGTAAAGATTTCACAGTGTATAAGGTAGATATGCTAACATTTTGGGGCTATTTTTTTAGTTAGACAGCCATTAGAGAGAATAAAAGTGAACAAGTATCTAGGCCAGAATCTAAGAGCATCACAAAAAAGGTGCCTGTGAATGAAGAAGACGTGTGGAGTCTCTCTGGCCACTTGGAGTGACTTGTTACTTGAATTGTGCCTCTCCTGGGACTCTAGCCGCTCGTAATTTTCATACTCAGGTGGTGCAGTGGGAGAGCTTAGTCTCTCTCAAGAATTATAAGTAAACCAGTGGAGAATTTACAAAATGGGTACTGTTCGCTTAGTATCATCGTGTACTGCATCATGTTGGTAAATCAGACTGCTGGTGGTGTGCAGTTTTATTTTCAAAAGAAAATGGTAAAAACTGATGCTCATGTTGCTTTATGTGTCCTACTGTTGGTTTTTGTGTGCTGGTGTTGTCTATGATAAAGATACAAATGCTTTCAAGGAGAGACCATCTTTTTTCCTTTATTTTGTTTCTCTATTGTGCTGGCTCGTTGTCAGTACTTATTAAGTGCTCTTGCCTATTTAATGCGAAAGTCTGTATCAGTCTCTGCCACTGTAGGAAAGAAGAGTTGGGAAGCAACATTGAAGACACTCTGGGCACTAGGAGAAGGCATGGCTGTGTATATTGTAAAAACCCTGTGAAACTGGCTTTCTCTAATACAAGAAAAACTTATACAGGTTTCCGCCAAAGTTTTAAAATCATGAAATAAATCCAAAACTGTGAATTAAATTAAGAAGAAAATCACCTTTATATCTATATCAAAACTAAAAGAAATTTCCTTATATTTAATTGTAGATTCCTATTAGGTTTTAATTAATTTTGCTCTGCCTATACTGTAGGAATAAAAATCCCTAATTGTACAGAATTCAAAATGAAATTTTTGATGTGGAGAGGTCCCTTCCAAGCTTGCTAAATAACCCTTCCCCCCATTGAGACAGGTGTCTTTACACTGCCCAGGTTGGCTTGGACCTTGGGGGATTCCTGCCTTAACTTCCCGAGTACCAGGGATTATAGTTCTGTGCTATCATGCCCAGTTTAAGCATCAGTTTTTACCATTTTCTTTTGAAAATTAAACTTAGAGACATGAAATGACTTGCTTAGGGCTACATGGTGCACTGCTAGAAGAAGCACTAGATATCTGGATTGTGGATTTTTCAACATATGAAGTCAATTTTAGTCAGCTGCTTCTTGCTGCATAGATGTTTTAGGGGTGGGAGTGGCCACTGTCACAGGACAAACAGGTACAGCTGCGGTGCATCTGGGGTTGAGTGCGGGCTTCTTAGGAGAGGAAAACACACCCATCTCCTGAGCTCTGTGCTCAGTGACGACACATGGCATGAGCATGGTACTACAGGGTAGAAGACATTGTGAATCTGCGTTTTTCCCCTTAGACACCTATTTTACCAGTACACAGGGCAGGCTTTTTTCTTGTGCTCTTTTGTCTCCCCTCCCCTCTCTGCTGCCATTTTACTATAAAAATTATTCATTAAGAAAAGTTTGGGCCAGGGAGATGGCTCAGTGGAATAAGCACTTCCCTGGCAAGCACAAGGACCTGAGTTCAATCCCTGGTTCTGCCAAAAAAAAGAAAAGAAAAGGAAAAGTTTGGCAGACATGGGACTAGAAGTCAGGTGATCTTGCCAGTTGTATTGCTAAATCCATTTTTAAAGGATTAAATTAGGTGAGTAAGTAGGCAACATAGTGACTTTTGAATGTCCCATGGCCTTTTGAAGTCCCTATTGTCTGTCTTCTGATGAGATTCATTCTATTGGTACTGTTCGGTAGAAGCAGTGACCAGACCAGGAGGATGATGCTGATATTTTGGATTCTCTAGTAACTGTGTTTCACCAACAGGAATTAACGAGTGTCTGGACCACTCGATCAGTGGCTGTGACCACAACTGCACAGACACACTGACCAGTTTCTACTGTTCCTGTCGTCCTGGTTACAAGCTCATGTCTGACAAAAGGACTTGTGTGGATATTGATGAATGCAAGGAGACTCCCTCTGTCTGCAGCCAGAAGTGTGAGAACGAAATAGGCTCCTTCATCTGTAAATGTGCTCCAGGCTACATCCGGGAGCCTGATGGAAAGACCTGCCGGCAGAACAGTGACATTGAGCCCTACCTCATTTTTAGCAATCGCTACTACTTACGGAACTTAACTATAGATGGCTACTCTTACTCACTCATTTTGCAAGGCCTGAGCAATGCTGTGGCCCTAGATTTTGACAGAGTAGAAAAAAGATTGTACTGGATTGACCTAGAGAGGCGAGTCATTGAGAGAATGTTCCTGAATAAGACAAACAGGGAGACAATCATAAGACACAAACTACAAGCACCAGAAGGTCTGGCTGTAGACTGGGTTGCCAGGTAAGAAAGTGTTCTGGGTGTTTTAATACTTAAGCTTTTATTTAATTTATTTATTTATTTATTTATTTTGTATTTTAATAAAGGCCTGCAGGGTCTCACAGTGTAGATCAGATTCGTAGTGATCTGCCTGTGTTCATCCTGCCAAGAACTAGGATTACAGGCATGTGTAACCATGCCAGTCTCAATTGCTGTCTCAGTGCACCCTGGGGGCGGGGCCAGCACAGCATGACAGGGATCGAACCCTGGCCAGTGATCTGTCTAAGTAGGCGCTTTACTCTATTGAGCTATTTGGCCAGCCCAAGCTTAACCATTTAAAAAATACATTCTAATCATGTTTTTACCCTCATAGGGAGTTGATCTTTTCAATTTAGGCCAATATTGGATACATTTTATAATCTTCCTAGTTTTTTTCCACTGATACTCAAATAGTACACCATGGAGCTTAGAATCTGGGGATTATAGGAATCTTTGGTATTATTTTTACTAGGAGGAACTTTATAAGGGAGGTAAAAGCTTGCTATTACTGGCTGTTCAGTTACTTGGAGATATCGGTAGGATGATCCATAGTCATGAGTGTATTCAGTCTTTTAAAAATACTGGGTGAGGGGGCTGGAGAGATGGCTCAGTGGTCTAGAGCACCTACTTGAAGCGGGCTTGGCAAGGCACAGGGACCGCGGTTCGATCCCCAGCACCACATGCCAGCCAGACCCGCCCCCTGGTGGGCTGAGCTGGTCACACACACACACAATAAATAAATGTAATAAATAAAAATAAATAAATATTTAAAAAAATAAAAATAAAAAAAAATAAAAATACTGGGTGAGCCAGGCATGTTGGCACACACCTGTGAAACCAGCACTTGGGAGGTTGAGGCAGGAGGATCACTGTGAATTCAAGGCCAGCCTGCTGCTTGGTGAAACCCTATCTCAAAAAGATAAACAAAACAAAACAAAAACCAAACTGGTTGAGGACTCCTACCTAATGATATAGTGGCAGGTATGAGGGGCCTGAAGGCGAGCAGACACCACCCTGCTGGAGCCACAGCTTGCTTACATTTTGCACCTGCTCTGATTCTTAAGCAGAGGGGGCTAATAAGAAATCCTGTGTTCTGAGATAGTCCTTTTGGAAGAACCAAAGAAGAAACCAGTCACATTTATATTGATAAGGAACATGTCTAAGATGCTAACTATACTAAAATTAGAAGTAATCTCCTGCTCATATCAATGCAAATGTCCATTGGTAACCTGAAGCTGTGTAGTTTCTTAAGTCTTTAAATTCAGTGTACTAATTTTCAGAAACAGGTTGGACACTGATGCTGGGTCTGTGTCCCTTTCATGGTTCCGTAGTGGAGATGGAGCTTGTAGGTTCTCTTAAAAATGGTCCATCACAGGGTCAGTCTTTTGACTGTGGAATGAAGAAAGCTTCCTGGGAAAGCAGGAAGCACAGCAGAGTGTGGGGTGATGTAGTACAGCCAGTCTGCTGGGACTTGAGATGCTGCTCTTTCACTTGCCAATTGCATTACCCTGGGGCCTCTATAGCTTCTTCTGGAAAACAGCAATAAAACTAGCACCTCTTCCAGGATCTCTGAAGTCTTAGGCTTAGCATTTAGTAAATGTTCTGCAATTAGCCACTAGCAAATTGCTCTTCTTTGCCTCTGTGATGGCAGAATCTAAGACTGTGGCCATCTCACTCCTTAGGAGTGACCCAAGAGAGCTGACTGACAGAGCGTGTACATTTATGCATCTTCTCATCCTTAGGGTTAGAAAGATGCTACTGTCCTGACCAGTAACTATGCTGACTTCCAACACAGCTGGACCAGGACTTATCTCTTACAAAGGGCATTTGAGTCTTCTAGAAGGGAAACCATACTCTTATTTGTTTAGAATTAGTTACCAGCTCCTAAATGACCCTCCAAGTATAGGGATGTTGAACCTTTTGGAAGGTTCTGGATATATTAAGATTTGAATGAGGGGCTGACCAGATAGCTCAGTGAATTAAAGCACCTGCTTAGGCAGAGTGCAACAGTAGGGGTTTGATCCCCAGCATGCTGTGCTAGCCCCACCCATGGGGCATGCTGAGACGACAGTGGAGACTGGGCGTGGTGGTGTCTGTAATCCCAGTGTTTGGGAGGCTGAACACAGGAGAATCACTATGAGTCCGATCTGTGTAGGAGACCCTGTAGACCCTGTCCTAAAATACTAAAAATAAAAAATAAAAATAAAAAGACTTGAATGAAAGGCTATGGCTCTGGTTAGTAAAAGCATTTCCGTATGTATGCTCACAAAGTTGTGTGCCAAAACTGGAGGGTTTAGAGCCCCCAAATCCACACTTCCCAGATGCCAGGCTAAGGATTTAAGGTTAAAGATACCTGCCCTATAGAAAGTAGAATTTATTGTACAACAATAGGTTTAGGCCTAAAATATCCCTGAGGCAGGAATTCCTAATACATTCTGATATATTTTTAAGGCTTTTTAAACTTGATTAAGGACTGGTGAGATGGCTCAGTGGTCTAAAGCACCTACTTAGAACAAACTAAGCCAAGCAAAGCACAGGGACCACGGTTCGATCCCCCAGCACCACATGCCAGCCAGCCCCGCCCCCTGGTGGGCTGAGCTGGCCACACACACACACAAAATAAATAAATAAATAAATTAAATTTAAAAAAAATAAACTTGATTAAGCAAAACACATCACAAATAAGCTCATCTTGGGGGGACTGGGGAGATGGCTCAGTGGAATAAGCGCTTCCCTGGCAAGTGCAAAGGCCTGAGTTCAATCCCCGGTTCCACCAAAAAAAAAAAAAAAAACAAAACAAAAAACCAAAACCCTCATTTTGCCACCTAGTCTGACAAGGCCAGGGATAGATTTCTTTTTATGTGGAGAATGTCAGGATTTGGAGTGCCTTTTTGCAGTTTAAGTGATATAGGTAGGCAAATCTGTTTCTTTCATTCCACCATTTAAAACATAGTCCATGGCACTTACTTCTGCTCCCCTGTCCCTCTGAGCTTTTATATTGTCTAGGAAGGATGTTATGGGGTATGCAGAAAGTAAAACCAGGCTTCTGGTGTGATGTGTGGCCCTGGAATTTCGAGGTCACCTTACCTAGAGGTGGGCATCATTACATCTTCATTGCCTCATTGCAGCAAGGCCAACTTCCTGCTTCCCTTGTCCTCTGGCTGGGGAAGGTGCCTCCTAACAGCCGGCTGTCTATGTGATTTCCAGACAGCTTGGGTTGGAAATTGGGTGGCCAAACAAAATGGTTACATCAGTAACTCCTGTCCCTCCATTTCAGACACCTCTACTGGGTGGATGCCCAGCTGGACGCCATCTTTGTCTCTGACCTCCAAGGTCGATACCGCCGCCTGCTAGCTCAGCACTGTGTGGATGCCAACAACACCTTCTGCTTTGACAATCCCAGAGGAATTGTTGTCCACCCTCAATATGGGTATTGTCTCCCTGTCGTGTCGGGCTCTTCTGTCATGCCCTTATTCTGCCTCTGTCACCAAAAAGGCTGCTCACATAGCTATCTCAAGGCCAATATCTTCCTGGGACTTGTCTTCTGCTTTTCCTGCCTGGTAAATGGTTTAGCCTCATGGGTAGAAGCATGGCTCATCCAGGGATGTTCATGAGTGCTTCTGTTGTCTTTGCCATGGCATTCCTTTTTACTTTTCCAGCTGCATGCCAAGAAAATTGGCCAAATGCCAAGATAACTGTGGTGGAAGAATTAGGCCTTCCCTGGACCCTCCATGCCAAAGCCTCTGAAATTGTCAGCCATATTCATTCCTGAGCACTGCCTGTCCATTATACCCCTTATTTTTTCCTTTTTCTCGGATTATTTTCTGTTCTCTTTGCTGAGAAGCTCTGCACAATGTAGACTCCATTTTTCTGAATAAAGAAAAGTTATCATTTGGGTCCTGACTTCCTTCGGCTGCAGGGACTGACGCTGTGTGTTTGCTCCTACAGATATGTCTACTGGTCAGACTGGGGAGAGCGTTCCTACATTGGCAGAGTTGGCATGGATGGAGCCAATAAGTCTGTGATTATCTCAACCAAGTTATTGTGGCCTAATGCCATCACCATCGATTACACCAATGACCTCCTGTACTGGGCAGACGCTCACCTGGGATACATTGAGTATGTACACAGAAAAGAACAAAACCGGGGAGCTGCTCATTGCAGATCCTGGGCCCTGTGCTCCCAGGGTTTGTCCTGTGTGCTTCTGCCTGGCCTGTGTACTCCAGGGCACTCTGAGGTCACCTCTAAGTAAAATTACCTACAGGCTGGTCACTGAGCTCTTTGGTACGGTGCAGTAGAGACAGAGTGAACTCTAAAGTTACACTGAACAGGATTTATAGCTTGTACTTTCACTTCTTATTGCTCTTATTTTTTAATGTAGAAAATGAGGCTAGTAATCTCTCCTGTGATAGCTTGGTGTTCAACACATCTCAATTTCATTATCTCTTGACCTTGTTCTCTAATCTCAAATATACAATTAATAGATTTCAGTACAGTCTTTGAAAAAAAGGAAGAGAATGAAAGTGTTGGAAAAGCTTTCCCTAAAATACTTCAATGCGTTTATTGATAAGTACAAAGAGGTGACTTATGTGTCAGAGTCTTTTAACATTCATTCAGCATATAATACATTGAAGTCTTTCTAGAAATAGAATCACTTTTAAACTTTATTAAGTATTACACAACTTAATTTTTTTTTTTTTTTTTGGTCAGAACCAGGGATTGAATTCAAGCCCTTGTGCTTGCCAGGGTAGCGCTTATTCCACTGAGCCATCTCCCCAGCCCTTACACAACTTAATGAGATAGGTTTATTTATTTATTTAATTTTGATACAAGTTTTTGCTACATAGCTCGGATTCATAGTGATCCTCCTGCCTCATCCTCCCCAGCACTGGGATTACAAGCATGCACCACCACACCCAGTTCCGGGGCTGGCAGAGTGTGCCTGGTGTTCTGGGGTGGCACACCATATGGTATTGGGGATCGTACCTGGGTCCTTGCGCTTGCCAGAAAGGCATTTATGCTGCCAAGCTTATTTAAAAATAATACATATTATTAGCCAACCAGTACATGTTTATTTGGGGACGTTGCTAGTTGTGGTCTAATCAGAACATAGCAGTATTTTCAGTATAGCCCGTTGCATTAAAAAACTGTTCCAAAGACCCTTATCAGTTCTGTCCCTTGGTAACTAAATTCAGATCATTACTTACATTCTTATCACCAAAGTTCTAGCAAGACTTTGTTTCCCCCCTGGCTTCTATAAATGACAGTATATGTATTTAGGAAATATTTTTATTGCTGATTTTTTTTTTTTTTTTTTTGGCAGAACCAGGGATTGAACTCAGGCCCTTGCACTTGCCAGGGAAGCGCTTAATTCCACTGAGCCATCTCTCTGGCCCCTAGGAAATATTTTTAACACTGTGTGGCTAACATCATGTTTCTTAGAGGTTAACTCATTCTATTCTCTGTTTGAATTTTAGGATCTCTTTTAAATTTTTAAAATACTAAAGTATCAGTTATTTTAGAAACAATTTCTGGGCCGGAGAGATAGCTCAGTAGAATAAGTGCTTGCCTGGCAAGCACAAGGCCCTGAGTTCAATCCCTGGTGCCGCAAAAAAAAGAAAGAAACAATTTCTAGTATAGCCTCACATTGGAACTAAGAGGACTTGGAAATTTGGCTGAGGATGCTATGACACCTTAAAATCAGAGTTTCCTGGAGGTTTATTCATTTGGAAAAGTGTTCTTCAACAGTGCCATGGCATGGTTCCTAGGAGACATGCTGCAGTGTTTGCTGCGGGGTACTTTCCTCTCAGGCTGTCCTGAGAATGCAGCTGTCTTCCTAGGGCAGCCTTTCCCTGAGGCTGCTTATAGCAAGTGGGATTCCAGCTTTATACTGCTAGTCTCTCATTTCTTGCAGAGGTCTTACGAAATAAGAACAGTGTTCATGCCCCCGTGTCAAACAGGTGATTCATGCACAGAATCAGTGTCTTAGTTACTGTTTACTCGTTGCTGGGACAAAGACCCAACACTCAAAATGAAGGAAGGAAAGGTTTATTTAGCTCACAGTCTGTAGAGGTTTCAGTTCATACTCCGCTGGCTCCAAGGCAAATGGCAGCAGTTCATGGTGGCAGAAAACAGTGAAGAGCAGAAGAGGAGCAGCAGCTGTGGCGTCCATCAAGCCTCTCTGTCCCTTTTACGCTGACTGGGAGGAACACGGCTGCTCCTCTGAAGAGGACTTCACCATGAAAGAGGGGCAGGGCAGGGCAGCAGGAAGCCTTCCTCAACTCCATTATATACATTTTCGGTGCTGAGTCACTCTGGGGTGGCCCATAGCCCTAGGGTTGAACCAATCACACCTCAGTGCCTGCCCAGTAGTGCCATAGGTTGGGCTCTGCTTGCCTGCAGGGCTGGGCCCCCAGCAGTTAGAAAACTGTAGGAGCTGATTCAGCCAAGTTGATGCAATGTATCAACTAACACAATCAGCATAAAGGATCTAATGCTACCAAGACTGTCAGTTGGACTGCAGTTGTGGTTACAAAGCAGTGATCGCTTCCAGTCCCACAGCAATGCTTATTTTTTAAACATGGCTTTTTCAGCTTTTTACATCTTTTACTGAAAGTAAATTCTTCTTTAGTTTTGTTTTCATTAAAGACTAAGGAGGTGGGGAGGTGTTGGGGAGATGGCTCAGTAGAATAAGAGCTTGCCTGGCAAGCTCAAGGGCCTGAGTTCAATCCCTGGTTCTGCCAAAAAAATAAAAATAAATAAAGTAAAATAAATAAAGACCAAAGAGGATAGAGTTTTATTGAGAGATTGGCCAATTTATTTGTCCTGAGAAGCTTACTGATGGCTGTTCTTCCTGTTGCTCCAGGTACTCCGATTTGGAGGGCCACCACCGACACACAGTGTATGACAGCGGGCTGCCTCACCCCTATGCTCTTACCGTATTTGAAGATACTATCTACTGGACAGATTGGAATACAAGGACAGTTGAAAAGGGACACAAATACGATGGCTCACATAGGGTGGTGCTGGTGAACACAACACACAGACCCTTTGACATCCATGTGTACCACCCATACCGGCAGCCGATTGGTGCGTAGGTGATGGGGGGGTTGGCACGGTTGGTTTAGTACATGTGTATGTTATTCTTCTGCCATGAAGCATGAATATCTGGACATATCAGAGGTTTCTCATTTCTCGTTAATGTTTTCTTCAAAATGTATGCCAAAGGAAAAAAAAAAGAACAAAACATATGCCGAGGCTGGGCATGGTAGAACATGCCTGTAATCTCAGCACTTGAGAGGCTGATGCAGGAGGATCATTGAATTTGAGGTCAGCCTGGCTACCTAGTGAGACCCTATCTCAAATAACCAAAATTTTAAAAAATTTGGGGGCCATGGACATGGAACTTAGGGCTTCATCTATGGTAGATAAGCACTGTACTACTGATCTATACCACCTGCTCCAGAAAGGCTAATTATGCTTCTTTTCTTAAAAACTGTCTCCCCCCCCCCCCAAGGCAGGGTCTCGCTATGTAGTTCAGGCAGGTCTTGAACTCAGTGTGTTGCTCAGATTGGTTTCAAACTTAGTGATCTTCCTGCCTCAGCCTCTCCAGTATTGGGATTACAGGGATGTACCACCACACCTGGTACTTGCCTTATTTTTAAAGAACAATCTTATTTGTTGTTTTTTTAGTATGATTTAATAGTTGTGTCACATAATTGCTTCATCTGCTTTGGTGGGACTACCAAAGTACTTTAAATTGGGTTGAAAGTATCATGAATGACATTGGAGCCTAAATATTTGAAAAAGCACATTTGAAAAACAAGGGCATTTCCCTATCTACCCATAATGCAACTATGACACCTCAAATATTAACAGTCATCTCTTATAACAAAGATCAGAGATTAACCTATTTAAATATTAAAAAGAAAATTGCAGCCATTATGGAAACCTTATTCAGTGTCTGTTTGCATATGACATTGTACCTTACATCAGATAAATGTTACTCCTGTCATAGTAATGTCAAGAACAATGTCATAGATTAAGTTTTTTAAATTTTTGCTTAAGGATTTATATTTGTCTCCATGTAATTGAAGCCATTTAATGGTTTAGAGATGACCTGGCAAATGGCTGTGGTGTACTTTGGGGAAAGACTGATTTTTCCTGGGTCCACTCTCTAGTGATGTCATGCTAAAGCATACAATAAATTTAGAAGTGAAGAAATTGAGATGTAGCAAAATAAAGCTATTTAATATTTCCTTCATTTTATTGGAAGTCTAATCTTACCACTAGGCAGTGTTTGAGAAACTTAGTAAATGCACCATGTCTCTGGCCAGTTATTTGTGACGCCACTTCTGTTTCCTTCGTGCTTAGGCTTGGTGCTTTGTGCTTTGCAAAGCAGAGCTCTTTCATAGGTTCTGGTTGGTTCCAAGCCTATGCTGTGTTCTCCCTGCTCTCTCAGGCCCTTAAGAACACGCCTTTCTAGTAAGGAACCCCAGTGAGCAGGCCTCATCCTGGTGGCATGTGCCTGAATTCTCTCACATATACAGTGCTTCTGGCGTAACTATCAGCTGTCCTACTAGATGAACTTTGGGGAAAGGCTCAAGCTAGGATCCTGCTTTTCCTTGCTGTTTCAGAGGTATGGAACTCAGTGTCAGGGGGAGTGACTCACTCATCTGTGCCTGACACTTTCTTCAAGCAGATGGACCCATGGTTTATTTCCTTCCCCCTAGTGACCAATCCTTGTGGCACCAACAACGGTGGCTGTTCGCATCTCTGCCTCATCAGGGCAGGGGGAAACGGATTCACCTGCGAGTGTCCTGATGACTTCCAGACCCTGCGTGTGACCGGCAGAACCTTCTGCCTGCCTGCGTGCTCCAGCACCCAGTTCCTCTGCGCTAACAATGAAAAGTAAGGTGTCCCTTCCCCAATTGGCCTCCCTGTCCCTCAGACACATTCCCACTGTGGGAATTTCCTAATGACCCAAGATTTCAGGTAATTTGGTTCATGTGGAACATGTCAAGACACTCAGCTGTAGGTAATTCCTTCCTAAATAGCAGGAATTTTTTCACCTACACCAATAATGCCTATGTATGTACATTTTTATAGAGAAGCAGGAAACGACTTTGAATTTCTAAGAAAGTGTCCTCTGTGTACCTGAGGCTGCACAAATCTCTTCAGTTACCCATATGAGAGAATCCAGTCTGCATATTCAAATCCACTTCTGGTCCTTTGTATTTGCTGCAAGATGTGGCTACAGATTATTTCCCTGATAATGGCTCTGGGCCATTGAGTCAGAATGGGGTGAAGGACAGTGTAAATGCAAATCATAGTGTCCAAGATGCAGTGGGAGATTGTTTTGGTGATTAAGTAAGAGACCTGAGATTGAGAAGCTACTGTGCCCTCTTATGACATAGGCATGCCGCAGTTCCCAGCACCTCGCAGTTTTCCCACCAATCCCCCACTGTCTTGTAGCACTTGGCAGACAGTCTGCCCTGCTCACTTCCAGAACCCTGTTTAAAGTACCTGCTCCATTGCTGGTTGTGGCAAGAATTTAATCATTACGCTCAGAGCATATTTTCAGTGTGTGTGTGTGTGTGAACAGACGTCTTACTGCTTTTTCTTTTCTCGGGCAGTGCACTACAGAAACTGAGGCTTAATTGATCCCTTCTAGGACCAAGAAGACCTCCTCTATGTCAGCCCTTGGGGTTCAGTGCTGATTTCTTCCACATAGCACCTGCCCCCCCCACCCCCCCCCGTGCTTTACTAGAGCAGGGTTTTATTTTTTCCTCTGTGTAGGTGTATTCCCATCTGGTGGAAGTGTGATGGGCAGAAAGATTGCTCCGATGGCTCTGATGAACCAGCCCTGTGCCCTCATCGTTTCTGCCGGGTGGGACAGTTCCAGTGCAGGGACGGCAACTGCACCAGCCCCCAGAGCTTGTGCAACGCTCGCCAGAATTGTGACGACGGCTCTGATGAAGACCGCGTGCTTTGTGGTGTGTTCATGGCTTCATGCTCTTCTGCCCTTTCTGTTGCTGATGGCACCATTTGATGGGCACTTCCTGCATGTCACAAATGGAGAAGTGGCTCAAATATGAGGAGAAACCCAGGGCCCATGCTCCCTCTGTTTTATATATTGAGCTTCTCATGTCTCTCTGAGGCAAGCGGTTGAGTAGATAGCATCTTCCAGGTGGAGGGCTCTTGTCCATGTGCTGGACGTAGACTCCTTCAGAACTCACACTGGGAGTGAAGTGAGGAACTTCTCGCCTCCTTTTGATAAGAACTCTTCATTGCGGTGTTTATTTTCACTTTAAAAGGGGGAGAATCCTCTAAACTAAAAGCAAGATATTAATTACAAGAAACACAAAGTCTGAAAATCACTGTTCACTATGGGAGCAGAGACAGGAGAAGGTGTGCTTAGCAGGACAGAGAGATCTGTCTCCAACTTTTAAACCTGCATGCAAAAAAAAGATATTTAGGAATTGGGGAGACAACAATTAAAGGAATAGTTATTCATATAGTATTGCTGATTGAGAATGAGTACATCATGTTATAGATCCTATAAGCTATATATGTTGGCACATGCCTCTGCTACCAGTTCTTGGGAGGCTGAGCCGGGAAGCTTGGAAGCTTGAGGCCAGCCTGACTTACCTAACAAGTTCGAGGTCATCCTGGGGTCTCAAAAGCATAACAGACAGGTCCATGGAAAGTAATGGTAATGGAATTCCTCAGGAACCATGAGTGTAAGGTAGAAACTTTTCATTCTGACCCCTCTGAAGCTGATAACTAAACGTCCCTCCTTGCAGAGAATCACCGATGTGAGCCCTACGAGTGGCAGTGTACCAACAAGCGCTGCATCCCTGAGTCCTGGCAGTGTGACTCAGTGAATGACTGCCTAGATAACTCGGACGAGGACAAAGCCCATTGTGCCAGCCGGACCTGCAGACCGGGCCAGTTCAGGTGTGACAACGGGGTCTGCATCCCTCAGTCCTGGAAGTGTGACGTGGACAATGACTGTGGAGACTACTCAGATGAGCCCCTCCACGAGTGCAGTAAGTCCCTGGGTGCAGGCAGATGAGGAGGCCTCTGTGTGCACTGGGAGAGCGTGCAGAGCCCCGTGTTGGTCCCTACCACAACTCACGGGGTGCTCCTGGCTCTAGTGCTGCGAAGCGCAGCCTCAGAGTGGTGTCCAGTGGCCCAGAGCCTGCTTCTCGGGTGTCTCACACAACCTCTCAGTAAACTGGTAAATCGCATGTCTGACTGACTGCCCAGAACATGAGAACTCACATCCTATCTATGGAATTCATCCTCATCTGAGGACATGGTAAGGTAGGGAGAGTGAGCCTGAATTCTCATGTTACAGCTAAAGGTAGAGAGGCTCACGGAACGTGGAAGTTCATGCTCCTGTCTCGTGGCAGGATGAACACTGCAACTTGGGCTCGTACTTCAAACCCAGCCCTTTCTCCCCTTACAGTTGCACTGCAGACCAAGTTGCAGTTACACTGCAGTGAGTGGCTAGAAGACAGCTTTCCCCCGGGACAGACACAGGCTGCTTTAGTTGGTCACATAGTCATTGCTGCTGGTCAGCACCCATCCTCAGTGTGACGATGAAAACTTACATCTGGGAGCCAAACTTCCACAGTGACTTTGGCCTCCGCCCTTTTCAGTGAGCGCTGCGTACCGCTGTAACAACCACACGGAATTCAGCTGTAAGACGAACTACCGCTGCATCCCACTGTGGGCCATGTGCAATGGCAACGATGACTGCAGGGACAACAGTGATGAGCAAGGCTGTGGTAGGAGGCCGTCCTGGGGGGAGGGGTGCGGAAACCAGTATGGGAGGGCTGTATGAGAGGAGGGTGGGTTTCCCATGCCATCTTCCCTTTGTTTCCCTCTGAAAGAAGGATTTGTCAAGACTGCTACCAGCATGTCACATTTTGTAGCCTTTGACGGGTTGTTGGGGCCATTTGAGTTAGGTAATCTCAAATGATATCTGATCCCAACGGACATTGTAATTGGAGAAGGAATTACTAAGATCATAGGAACTTGTGTAATTTCTTTCAAGCGTAGAATTCTTATGCAAACACAGTTGGCTTGTCTAATCTTACAGATTGAGTGAATTGAGGGGTTAGAGAAGAGACTTGTGGCTGGCACTACATAATTCATATCCAAATCAGAACCTCTTTTACTTGGTGATTTCCATGTTGTAAATGTCTTTCTGTTATTCACTCTGGACACGTGGAAAGAATTTATGGACAGAAGGCCAACCAAATTACCAAATTAATGGAAGGTATTAAGACTAGGCAAATACTATAACTTGAAATAAATATGTGTGTGTGTGTATGTGTGTGTGTGAGAGAGAGAGAGAGAGAGAGAGAGAGAGAGAGAGAGAGAGAGTAATAAGAGGAAAAAGAGGAGAGGGAGAGGAGGCAAGATAATGGGTTATTTTAGTAACAATATCTAGGCCAGGGAAACCAATATGATAGAATTACTGTATTGGCTGGTGGCCTCAGTTTACCTTCCCTTACAAGGCCAGTTATAAATCAGGTCCCAGAGGCTGGGGAGATGGCTCAGTAGAATAAGTGCATCCCTGGCAAGTGCAAGGGCCTGAGTTCAATCCCTGGTTCTGCCAAAAAAAAAAAAAAAAGTCAGGTCCCAATATGTTTTTGAACAATTTCTACAAAAGAGAATTGCAGATCTAGTTTCAAGCCGTAGGATAGGTTTGGGTTAGCTAAAAGAGGAATGGTTCATGACAATTTAATGTCGTTGGTATTCCCCTGTCTGGGAGCTCCAAGAACATGGTAACAGTTCTCAGGCTGTCACAAGCATCCCAGTGCTGCTTTGTGCATTTCTTGGCCATCATGTTACAAAGGCTTTGCAATGCCTTGCTTTGCAGAGGCACGGACATGCAACCCTTCAGGGGATTTCCGCTGTAAAAATCACCAGTGCATCCCTCTTCGCTGGAAATGTGATAGGGTCGATGACTGTGGAGACAACTCAGATGAGGAAAACTGTGGTGAGTGCTCCCAGCTCTGCGGTCCTCAAGGGCCACCAGGGCTGCGATGTCCCTTCTTTGTTCGTAGTTGACTACGTCACTCATCCTTAGAGGGCAGAAGGAGAATATTTACTAAAGTATGTCTTTTTTTATTGAGAAATAAATATGAATGAGACAGTTTCAAAGTTGATTAATAGGACAGTTTCGATAATCAATACATTGTACATTGTTATCTTCTTAGTGGTTATCCATGGTACAAGAAGCAGACAGGATATCCTGTCCAAGCACTATTAGTACACCTCTTTCTTATCATTGAATTAAGTGAAAGTAACTGTAAATTTATCCTATTTTGTGTATATAAATACAAAATGATCTTTCCATTGTATCCCTTTTTTTTCCTGTCAGAGGTGGATATTTTATTGGCATCTAAACACTATAAGTGAATTCAGCTAAACAATCTAACACTGTCTAGCAGTCTATAATATTAGTGGGTTATCCTCAGAAGTTATTGACTTGAGCCTTTTACAGCTCATCATATTAATATGGCTTTACTTTATATACCTCGTTTTTATATTTTTCTGTTGGATGGTTAAGACCAAGATAAAGCAAGCCCTATATAACAAGAAATGTAACTTTTATCTGATAAATGTAACTTGTATCTGATAAGGTCAGTCAACTACTCTCAGGATTTATCCTGTAGCCCTGTACTGCACTTTGTACATCCTTTGTCAGTGTCAGCCATGAGGATGAGTCATGGCCATTGCTTGACCAATTTGCTCTCTATGAAAACCTGAGAAAATGTTTTTTCCCTCCATGTGACTCTCCCTAGGCACACTATACATGATCAATCACATTCTTCTGTGGCTCCATAATCTTGATCAGAAAATTTGGAGCACAACTGAGTTACATGTTGTTACAGTACAGGTTCTCCTATGTCCCGAGTCTTCACTGACCTTGAAAGGCTAGGGCCAAAATGTTGGCTAACCATGCAGCCCTTCCTTTTCTCCAATTTTGAACAGCTAACTTAGGTTGTTAACACTCCAGAAGAGAGGCTAATTATTAACCTGCAATATATGCAGTTCGGTTTACCCTGCCTGTCTAAATATCAAACATCTTTGGCATATTATGGAACAGGTATTTTCCATCAGATACTGATATGTTGAACTTTAAGTCCTTACAGAATATGAAGGAAAAATAATTTTATAAAAGTAGAAATAAACATTTACGTATTTTTACAGAGAAATTTAGAAATCTAACCATATACAGCATTGTAACAGGACAGACCTGTGACATTTTTTTTTTCTTATTGTTGTGTCTTTTTTTTTCTTTCAATTTATTACCCTTTAAAAAAAAAAAGAGCCTTTACTTGAGAGACTTTATGGCAATAAATGGTATGTCATGATAAGAAGTACATATTTAGAAGACAAGGATGGCAGGCACTCCAAGCGTGACCCTTCTATTACACATCGCCATCCTCAGTGCAGCCGCCTGGCTCACAGGCACCAGCGTATACAGTTAGTCAGGGTGAGAGTCTCACCAGCCAACCACTAGTCTCAAAAAACTGCTGATGTCCCCCAGGATCACTGCCCCAGCCATCTCATGCATACAAATGTATGGCTTTGCCCCTGTCATGTTTCCCAGCTTTTCTCCTTGCCCACTCCTCATTGTCCAATCCTCAAGTTCTCGCTTTTCTTTTATTTGTGTTGTATCTTTCTATATGTAATTCCTCTTTTAAGTTCTTATATTAGGGAGACAATACAATATTTATAGATGTGGGTCTGGTTTATTTCACTTATATCTTCAAGTGGCATCCACTTAAATATGAAGGCTTCGAGTGTATCATTCTTTATAGCTGAGTAGTACTCCATTATATAAAAGTACCACATCTTTTTCAACCATTCCACATGTGACAGGCATCTTGGTTGTTTCCAAGATCTGGCTATCACAAATGTGCTGCTATAAACATAGTGTCTCAGTTACTGTTTACTCGTTGCTGGGACAAATACCTGACACTCAAAATGAAGGAAGGAAAGTTTTACAAGAGCAGTTCATGTGGCAGAAAACAATGAAGAGCAGAAGAGGAGCAGCAGCTGGAGTGTCCATTAAGCCTCTATCTTCCTTCTACGCTGACTGCAAAGACTGGCGCTCTGTGGCGATCAAAGCTCTTTCAAAGTAGTGCAGCTGTGAAGATCAAGCTCCTCCAAAAGACTGAGACTTCTCCATGGAAGCGGGGCAGGGTGGCAGGAAACTAGGCCGGTCGGCTTTTGCCTTTCTCATTTCCTGGGCCCTGCCCACCTGCAGGACTAGGCCTCCATGCTGAGAACTGCCAAACTGATTCAGCGAAGTTGACACAATGTATCAACTGACACAATCCACCCCTTGTCAACTTGGCAACTAGATATACACATTTTTAAGCCAATTTCCAGGTACACAGACATGTTTAAACATGTTACAACTTGAACATTGCATAACATTAGAACCATGACATGTTACCCCTGGCCCTCCAAAGACTCTGCACATCTGTTTATGCAAAAGACATTTTAGTCCATCTCTAAGAGTTACCAAAGTCTTACCAGTTTCAGCAACACTGAAAAGTCCAAGTCCTAAGCTTCCAAGATCTTAGGCAAACTCTTAGCTGTGAGCCCCTCTACAAATGAAAAGTTAAACACTTGCAACATTCAAAGGCACAAGATAAGCATTACATTCCAAAAGGTATACACAAACAATTGGGACCAAAATAAGTCCAAAGTCCAGAGGGGCAAATGTTAAGTCCTGTAGTTCCCTGTGGACCATTCAGAGCACCCTGTAATGAGCTGTGAGCTCCAAAAGCCTTACGTGGCTCCACTGCTATGACACTTATGTGGTAGCTTTTCTCTCAGGCCTGCTTTGCCCCCTTTTTGCAGCTTTTTCTTAGACCATCCACATTCCTGGCTTTTTTAAACTTCTGAGGTTTCCACTGAGTAGGCTTCTCATTCCCAGCTTCACACACTGCCCTCTCAGGGGCACACTGCCTGGCCTCCAGGCCTTCTTCTGAAATCTGGGCGGAAGCCTTCTGAACCTCAGAACACCTGCATTCCTCATGCACCTACAACCACCAAAGCCACATGGATGATGCCAAGGGCTGCTGCCAGCTGGAGCAGTAACCAGGCTTCCTTCTACCTTGGCTGTAGGGGTTGAGGGCCTGGATTGCTGAGCACTCTGACCCTGATTCTGAGAAACAAAATTTTTATGCCGGTGCCATTTTGCAATCTGGTGTGGCCACCGCCTCCATTCTGGAACCTGGTGTGGCCACTGCCTCCATTCTGGAACATGGGGCTCTGCGGCTTTCTCCTCAAAGCAAAGTTCTTCACCCTTGTGATTCTGAGGCTGCAAAGGGCAAGAACCTGTCATCTCCAAGAAGCTCTCCCCGACACTCACAGGGCCTGGGAATGGACAGATATGGCTAAAGTATATCTTTTTTTTTTTTTTTTTTTTTTTTTTTGTGACCGGCTCTGCCCACCCTGGGGGCAGGGCTGGAGTGGCATACGGTACTGGAGACTGAACCGCAATCTTCGCATGCTTGCCCAAGCAGGCATTTTAGACCACTGAGCTATCTCACCGGCCCAACTGAAGTATATCTTTTTTGTGTTAAATGTATTTACTGAACTATTTTTCTAAAAAGAACTTGAAATAACATTGTTATGAAGGATAAATATAATAAGATAAGTAGACTGGAAAAAGAAAATGAAGACCCAGACAAGAAAGGAAGGGTGCTAAACAGAGACCCCATTTCTCAAACTCTTTCCCCAAAGTGGCCCAAGTAGCAAAGGAGAGAAAACTCAAGTGGAATTTTTACCTTCCTGGATTAGCAGATTCTTTTAGGAGGGCTGTGGATAAGCATCAGGTCAGGTGCTGATTCTTCTCTTCCGCTCAAGATGTGGCTACTGGGAATCAGTCTGGAGGAAGGCAGCCTGGATTCCACCAACACTGGTGCCCAGTTCTGAAGAAGTAGAAGTATTCCCAAAAGAACTTTATGAATTCCCACCATGAGCTTCTATCATGGACTCCTGACATATTTTCAACTTCAAATTTTTTAATATGAAAATTTTCTGGCCACTTTTTGTTGGAAGACATAATCACTATTTCTCATATGCAATTGGATTAGAGCATGGATTATTCCTGTAGATCTAAAAGAGCAATCTAGGGGCCAGGGCATACAGCATCTGCCTGGCAAGCACAAGGTCCTAAGTGTGAATTCTGGTACCCAAGCAAAACAAAACAAAACTGAAAAGGCAATCCCACTGACATTTTGTTAATTTTAGAAGTTCATATTGAATCATAAGAGGTTATCTAGAACTTCATGAAATGAAAAACTGATTGTCACAAACTCAAGGCTATTCTTTGCTGGCTTAAATCCATGTGGAAGGTCTAGTTTTGCAGGATGAATGACCTGCCCTAGCAAACCTAACTTCAATGAGAGAGGCTACAGGGCATCCCAGGCAGTATGGCCAGCTCCCAAACAAGTCATGCGCGTGCGTGTGTGTGTGTGTGGTTCCTGGTGCATTCATGGCCACGTGGCTTCTCTTTCAGCTCCCCGGGAGTGCACGGAGAGTGAATTTCGATGCAGTAATCAGCAGTGTATTCCCTCTCGATGGGTTTGTAATCAAGAGAATGATTGTGGGGACAACTCAGATGAGCGGGACTGTGGTAACTATTGGTGCTTATTATAGAATCATAAACTGTGGTAGAGTAAGCCTTTCAAGGTAGTGCTCATAAAGATTTTAAGAGTAATAGAATTTTTATGTAACTTATGCAGTACTTAAACCTTAGCATAATCAAACAACTTACTATTTTCCATGCTTTTTTTTTTTTTTTTTAAACCTTATAGCAATCTAGATCACTCATGCTATGGAAACCAGCAAGGAGTTTTTAAATCTCATTTTGACTTTAACATTCCCTAGAGCAGACTTTAATGTACATTGTCCTAATAGACAAATACATTTCTAGTATTCCATGGGTCATCCTGACATAGCTGACAGAGCTGTGGAATAGGAATCCTGTCTTCATGATGGGTTTGAGGAAAACTGAGGAACATCAAAAATGGGGAAATTCTGAGGCAAGCTTGAGAGTGAGAAGTCAGTTAACAGGGACAATAAGTGCCTCCATCTTCATCTGTTTATGGGGAAATGTGGGCTTTGAGAGCTCATTTGTTGGCTGACACAGCTAGGAGTTTGCAGTGAGACAGGAGAAGGAGGGAGGAATGTGAGGCACTGCACGTGCCTCCTACCTGCACGCAGATGACAAGGCCTTCAGGAAATGAGTCTTTTCTCTTCAGAGCTGAGGACCTGCCACCCTGAATATTTCCAATGTACAAGTGGACACTGCATACCCAATATATTTAAATGTGATGGAAGAGCCGACTGTTTGGATGCCTCTGATGAAACCACCTGCCGTAAGTCCCTGGGCATGTGCTGCCCTGCGCAGCTCTTTCTGTTCAGTCTCCACAAGTAATTTTTATCAGTTGGCCTGTGGGGCATTATGATCATATACTTCTCAGGGGTCATTCGAGTGCATTTCACTAGCAATATTTTAAAGAGAGAATGTAGTAAATAGGCTCTGCTAGCAAAATATATGTTATGAGGTACTATGTAATCATTAATTGGATAAAGACATTGCCAGAATATTACAGAATATTAGGCCAAGGGTTGGCCAGATAATTTAATGGATTAAAGCTCCTGCTTAGGCAGACACAGGGGCCAGGGATTCAATCTCCTGGCCTAAAGTGTTGACCCAACCCCCGAGGCATGCTGAGACATGGATTGAGATTGGATGTGGTGGCACGCTCCTATAATCCCAGTGCTTGGGAGGCTGAAAACAGGAAGGATCACTATGAATCCGATCTATGTAGTGAGACCCTGTAGACCCTGTGCTAAAATACATTTTTTAAAAAGAATATTAGGGTAGTGAATAAAATACGAAGAACTTGGGTTAAGTATTAGAATGGAATTTAGATATTAAATTTTAATCTGAGTTGCATAATAACATATAAAATCTCTAAAAATGTAAATTTACTAAGATCACTCATATTTTTCTCTTTGTGAATCACTGATTACATATTTAACTGTTGAATTACTTGTGGTAGGGGGGTGTGTTTAACAAATCTCTAACCCTGGCCTTGAGGAAACTTTACAAATGCATCAGGAGCAGAGCTAGTCTTCCTGCGGCTAGAGGTTGGGCTTGCTCTCAGCCAAAGCCCAGTGCTGCCCAAGGGGCAGTTCATGTTGTGGAAAACTGGCTTGGACAGTGGTCCTTATGACATATGCCATCAGAATCTCAGAGAGAGTATGCTCATAGGACATTGGGGTGAATTCTAATAGCAAGAGCTAGCGGTGGAATAGCAGGAAAGCTTTCCTGAACTAGTAATTTTGTTTCATAATTTGCATGTATCTGTTCCCCACCCATAGCCACTCGCTTTCCCAACGGTACATACTGCCCGGCTACTCTGTTCGAGTGTAAAAACCATGTTTGTGTCCAGTCTTATTTTATATGTGATGGAGATGACGACTGTGGCGATGGTTCTGATGAAGAGCTCCACCTCTGCAGTAAGAGAGAGTGAGGGGTGGGGTGGAAGACGTGTTTGGTGAAATGCTGGCATTTCTTACATGCAGCGTGCAGTCTTGGAGGCAGTTGTATGGTGTTTGAGGATTAGACACGTGCCCTAGTTGATTGCCCTTGGTCTTCTTGCTTCAGTTCTGTTTGTCCATAAGAAAGTTGGGCCAGCATCCATGGTATTAAGTATATGGCCTTAGAAGACCATTTCTACAAAAGAAGTTTTACTTGGAAGCCCAGTGTGCATAGACAGAGGCAGCTCTGCCATGGATGAAGTCTAAGGAGGAAGAGGAGTGATTTGTAGCTTTCCTGTTCCAAGCTAACCCTGGTGTCCCTTGAGCTATCCCCTCCAAGTCCCTAGGGCAGTGGTGTTGAGCCTATGGCACATTTGTTGCAGGCTCTAAAAGGTGGTTTCCTTTTGTTATATGATTTTTTTTTTTCCTGGTCTTTTTGAGACAGGGTTTCACTGAAGTTCAGGCTGGCCTTGAGCTCACTTTGTAGCTCAGGCTGGTCTCGAGCTCACATTGGTCCTCCTTCTCAGCTTCCCAAGTGCTGGGATTACAGGCACGAGCCACCACACCCAGCTTCCTTTTTTATATGCTTTGAATCACTAAACAAAAGCTAGTATGGTAGCTCTCAGGGCTTCTCTAGATTAGGAAAGTCCTTATTACCTAGGAATTTAGAAATTCATGGGCCCCTGGGCAGTGGGGTCCCAGCAATCTGTGTGTAAGCAAGTCTTGCAAGTGATTCTGCGGCAAGCCAAGGTTGAAGGGCACTGTGCAGTGAGCCTTTCATCGCAGGAGAGGGGGCCCTGGCACATTTTTGCTGTGCTCTAACTGAGCCGCCAGACTGCCTTTGCTGCAGCTTCTGTCATTCACTTTCCTACGTTCATCACACTTCATTTTCAGGCCTGAGATCGGACACCCAGAGAACTCGAGCAGATGTGTGCTGCATTCTCACCCTGGCAGCCTGATACTTTCCTCTCTCTAGCTGGTAGAAACTACCCATGCTTGTTTTGTATTTACCTTGGTAACTCCTGCAAAATCTCTCAAGCATGTGAATTTTTCAAAGAGACCATTTTCTTTCGTAAGATAAAAGCATTGGTAAAATTAAATTTTGGAGAGGCAGGAATATAGCCACATGTTTTTTTAAAGAGATCAATACTGTTTTTTAATGCTGCACTTACCCTTCTGAGCAATTAATTCTTGGAATAGTTATATCTACCATTTCCAAGAACCTGTCCTCCCCAACAGCCTCATTCCAGGTCTTTCCCCTTGATCTCAGCATGCGGTACAAAGTCGAAGGGCAAAGCAGATAGCCTGAGTCTTCACGTCCTCCCTGAGAAAGATCACAGCACAGTCATGCCACATTTCCCCTTGCTTGGCACAGCACTTGGGCTTCCCACGTCTGTGTGGACAACACAGTGAGTGAGGGTTTGCCCCTGAGGTGTCAGCTTTAAATGCACAAGGTGAAGGAATTCACCAAGGAAGTCCAGCATGGAATGTAACATTGATGATGACTTCATGGCCTCAGTATTCTGTGACAGTTGCAATTAGTAGAATCAACAGTGGCTTCCTGGCTGCCAGGATAAGAGTCTTGTAAGGTCCTCATGGACTCTCCAGCCTGCTAGGCACCACTTTCCTCCTCCTTCTATGCTACAGCCGGAGACTTTTGTAAAGGCCTAAAACCCTCCATGTTCCTCGTAGATTTTGAATCTTCTGGCATGTAGCTACCTGTCCTTGGGCAGAATGTTAGATCCCCAGTCATGTCTCTCAACTGTAATTGAACACACATGGCTTAAATCTATTTTCTTCTAGTATTGAGTTTTATGAAAACAAGGACTGCCTCTTTCTTGTTCCTTGTTATAGTTGGTGCCTAGTGCAGTGCCTTCACATGTGCTAGGTACTCAAGAAGTATTTATTGGGCCAGGGAGATGGCTCAGTGGAATAAGCTTTTCCTTGGCAAGCACAACGGCCTGAGTTCAATCCCTGGTTCCACCAAAAAAAAAAAAACAAAAGAAGAAGAAGAAGTATTTATTGATTGAGTAATCAAATGAGCACAAATGAATGAATGAGTATAGAAAGCCTGATAGTGGACTACCATGGAGATTTTATTTTAGGTACTGACTCCTGTGTTCTCCATTTAACTACAGTTTAATTCTCCCCTTTTTCCTTCTAGTCAATATTGCTTGTGAACGCCCCGAGCGTTTCCGGTGTGACAACGGTCGCTGCCTTTATGCTCACGAGGTGTGCAATGGCGTGGATGACTGTGGAGACGGAACTGATGAGAAGGAGGAGCACTGTAAGCAAGGGGCGTTGTGTCTGTGGCAGCCTTTCTCTCCTGACAAAGTAGTTTACAGTACCGTGCACATTAATTCCTCAGATGCAGCCTGGTCTCTTCTTCCTGTTTCATTTGAGCAGTATGTTAGCAAATCTCTTAGTTTTTCCATCTTTGCTTAGTAAACTCTTTTCTTGTAACAAAATGAGAGCAAATTGAATAAACGATAAATAGTGACTGAGCCCCACTTCAACAAGTTAGTGGGATGTTTGCTTTCAGAGTTGAGGTTTGGTTACCCTTCATCCTTGACTTGCTAATTGTTCGTCTGAGCTTTTGAATGAAGTCCCTTATCAACGCCCAGCTGAAAGGATGATGTTGAGTGAGGCAGCACTGGTATTAATGGAGGTTACCTAGTATCCTTCTTGAAAGTGAAAGTTTGTTTCATTGATAGATTAAGGTAGGAGTTTTATACTAGCTGCAGTTACTATTTTAGGTATGGAAATATCTGTACTTTCTTTATACTTTGAGAATATCACAATGTACTCCTGTACTGCTACACTCGCTTCATGCTTTTCTCTCCTAATAGAAGACCTTTAACCCTCCAACAGTATTATCCCACTCAGTACCTGAAACCAGGAGTTCTGGGTTCTGGACCATAAGGACTCCGTCCATTCCACATGCATTTTCTCTTGGTGTGGAAACGCATAAACGAATAGTCCAGTTTTATCTGGACCACACACCCCCAGAGGTGGTAGAACAGGAAAGCAGAGCAGAAATAAATACTTCCATTTGGAAAGAAAAAATTAGAGATTCCTTACAACCATGTGCCAGTATAGGACCATCCTGATTCATGTCTGCCACCATAGTGGAATTATTAGTAGCACCGCTTTCACTCTCAAAACTGAGCTGGCTTGGTGAGGGGGTTTTGCCACCCTGTGCAGGTGCTGCTGAGGGTTCTGTGCGGGAGTGCAAGAGACTTGCTTATCCTGACACTTGGGAGAAGCTCCGCCTCATCCAGACTCCACCCTTGGGCAGCTTTGCCTGTCTATCTTCCTCTGCAGATCAGGAAGGGAGCAGGGGAATAGCTCTTCATGGGGGCTGTGCAGCTTTCTAGTCCCAGTAACTGCCTGTGGAAGGTTAGGGACCCAAGAGTTCTGTTTCTCTTCTTAAAGGCTCGAACAATCATAGTATTTCAGATTATTTGGCTGTGTATCTCTCTCAGGACTCTTTTTGGCCTGTATGCTTTCAGGTGGTTCTAAAAGTTATTTAATAGCCATGTTCTGAATTCTTTTTGAGACACAGATATGAACTCTGCAGTTTTTTTTGTTTGTTTGTTTTGCTTGCTTTCTCTATTACAGATCCATGTTAATTGTCATTTATAGTGAGCCCATCTAGAAAAATGGACTAAGAGGTTTTCCTGGGCCTTTGCATCTCAAAGCCTTTCAAACTTTAGGTTCTTCCTCTTTTTCTTTGGAATCTTGATGTGCCTTTTCCTATCCTGTGAATTTCTGAACTTTTTCTTTCATTTCTGCTTATAAATCCTCCTGTTTTTCCCTGAGTTTTTAATACTGCCTTTCCAAACTCAGGTTGTGTCTCCCAATGCACGCTCCTCTCTTTCTGCTTTCTATCCTGATTTCATGTTGTCAGGTTCAGCCCATATATTGCATTCTAATCTTCCTAAGGCAACAGCTTTACCAAATGCTCTGTGGTTGCATAATGCAAATCTCCATCCTCTCTGCCACCAGTAGCTGTTTCCTCACTGCTCACCATCTGACTCTTGAACTAATGCCAGCTATTTTAGGTCTTTGTTTTGGAAGCTCCCTGCTTCTCTCATCACTCTGTATTATTCAGGGTAATTAATACTCCCTGGTGCACAGACACTGCAGATCCCAAAGTCTTAGTGGTGCAACACAACAAAGGCTTCTTTCTCATCACTAGGAAGGCCAGGGCAGGCTGTGTGGCTCCTCCATTGGTCGCTCTGCCACCTGACCTGCTCAGCTGCCAAGGTTGCTACAGCAGCTTAAGAGATACAGAGGACTCTGGGGTTTTTAGTTACTTCAGCCCAAGGTGACCTATGTCTCTTCCAACTCACAGCCTGTTGGGTAGAACTAGCCCCGTGGTCCCAGCTTACCTGCAAGGGAGACCAGCAAGTGAGTGTTTACTTGTTGAGCAGTGATGTCTCTGCTGCAGGGGGAAGCATCCTGCTTCACAGGAGAAAAGGGTTTGACTTATACTTGTTTTTAAATTACAGGTAGAAAACCGACTCCTAAACCTTGTACAGAAAATGAATTTAAGTGCAACAATGGAAATTGCATTTCAGAGCTCTATATCTGTGATAATGTTGATGACTGTAGAGACCTCTCTGATGAAACAGGTTGCAGTAAGTAAAGACTTATTTCCACACTCCAGCACGCTAACTCGGGCTCACCCAGGGGAAGCACGCAAAGCAGAAAGCAGATGCCAGCCACTCCCTATCTGTGGGCACAGAGATGCTGTGCTAATGTTGGATGTGGGTTATTTCATTTTATCTTGTGATCTTCTCCATTAGGTAGCATTGCCCCTCTTAAGAAATACACAAATGGACCAATGATATAGAGTTAAGGCAATTGACTAGGTCTTATGGACACAGGAGATTGAATTGTATTTGGACTCTGGCCCACCTAACTACAGAGCACGTCCTCTTCTTGGGCTGTCTGTCAGCACTTTAGAGCTGTGTATTTTATTAGCCTGCACATGTTTTTTTGTCACCTTAAATCAAAAATGTGCTGCCCTTGACACACATGAGGGACATGAGGAAGATGTGAATTCCACAGGGACATGGAAGGAGCCTTCATTTTTAGTGTAGAAGGGAGATTTTTGTGTTAGAAGAGATTTTTTAATACTTTGGGGACCTTAGATTTAGCTCCATGCACTTCCAACTTCTGGGACCCTGTTGTTTATTTTTGAGGCATCCAGAGAACTTCATGGAAATGGTTCCCCTTTGTGAATTATAAAAGTCCCTGAATAACCCAAGTTATTGAATGCTAAAGAACCAGAGTTTCTCTGCTTTGTATCTCCCACACTTTCTTGGTGGGACTTGGAGCTAAGTGATAAAATGACTCAACTAAATTTGAAAATGTGGGGCTGGTGAGATGGCTCAGTGGTCTAAAGCACCTACTTAGAACAAGCTTAGCAAAGCACAGGGACCGCGGTTCAATCCCCTAGCACCATATGCCAGCCAGCCCCGCCCCCTGGTGGGCTGAGCTGCCCCCCCCCACATAAATAAATAAATAAATAAAATTTTAAAAAATAAAAAATAAATAAATTTGAAAATGTGAGTGGACAGAATTTGCAAAACTGGATGGCATTCAAGAAGATTATGGAGCCACAGAGGAATGTGATAGATCATGTATAGTGTGCCTGGGGAGAGTCATATGGAGAGAAAACATTCTCTCAGGCTTTCACAGAGAGCAAATTGGTCAAGCAATGGCTATGACTCATCCTCATGGCTGACGCTGACAAAGGATGTACAAAGTGTGGTACAGGGTTACAGGATAAATCCTGAGAGTAGTTGACTGACCTTATCAGATACAAAAGTTACATTTCTTGTTATATAGGTCTTGCTTTATCTTGGTCTTAACCATCCAGCAGAAAAGTATAAAAACGAGGTATGTAAAGTAAATTCATATTAATACGATGAGCTGTAAAAGGCTCCAGTCAATAACTTCTGAGGATAACCCACCAATATTATAGACTACTAGACAGTGTTAGATTGTTTAGCTGAATTCAAACACCTGTAGTATTTAGATGTCAATAGAATATCCACCTCTGACAGGACTAAATTTAAAAAAAGGATACAAAGGAAAGATGATTTTGTATTTATATATACAAAATAGTTAGGATAGATATACAGCTACTTTTGCTTAATTCCATGATAAGAAAGAGGTGTACTAATAGTGTTTGGACAGAATATCCTGTCTGCTTCTTGTACTATGGATAACCACTAAGAAGATAACAATGTACATTGCATTGATTATCGAAACTATCCTATTAATCAACTGTGAAACTATCTCATTCATATTTATTTGTCAAAAAAAAAATAAAACAAATGAAAAACTGGATGACACTTTGGGGTTCTGATCCCCTCCCCAAAAATGAGATGTGAACAGCTCCAGGAACTTAGAGTATTTGCAATTTGGACTTCAGTCAAATGCTGATTTCTCTTTTAGGAATCCATGCCAGCAAAAGGGGCATACAACTACAGTACTTTCCATTTGAATGGTATTTAATTAAATGAGGGATTATTTAAAAGAAGTAACATGGAAATTAATATGGGTGTAAAGGTGACTCCTTTCAGATATTAAGTGGATATGTGAAATGGAATTGCGTTTTACTGCTGTGTACTATTAATTTGACCTGGCGTGGAATTCTTACAATACCCATTCTGGGTACTGCTAATCCCCTCCCTTTGTTATGTTTTCTCGTTCCTCATATTTCTCCCTCCTCTCCTTCTCCTCCCTCTTCCTCTTTCCTTCACCCCTCCCTTTCTTTTTCCTCCTTTTATTCTATTCCTCCTCCTTCTTCAACAGGCTCACTGAAGTATCCAAGCTTTGTTTCCTCTAAGCCTTGAGGTGCACAAAATGATGTTTTGGTAAACATAGCTAAATTTTTGCAACAGTCAGGCAAATTATCGTATTATCATCCCTCATACTATTTCTCCCAAAATAAAGCCTATCAGGAAAATAAGTTCTAGTGTGATTTTAGATGAGACATCCTTTGAAAATGAGCCCTGTTGCATCAGACGCAAGGACAGTGGTCTATGGTCATTATGCTCAATTTGTGGATATTTTTCTTTTCTGTGAAACTCATTGATTTCACTCTGTTCAGACTACACTAACTGAGATGGTCATTATTTCTCAAAGTCCACCTTAGTCTATACTGTAGAAGACAGAAAAGTGGAAATTACATGGACTTGAGTCAGGAGCTTGCAGGTTCTTTGACTAAAGTATTTGGGGGGCTGGGGTGGAGAGAGATTTCCCCTGAAAGGCAGACCCAGCCTGGCTCCGTGTAGGGAGAGCCACTATCTCCACCCCCTTGTGCCTGTTCACCTTTGTCAGCCTTGCTGGAAGACTGTGAGGTCAGTGGACAGTGAGGATGAAGGAAGCAGACTGATTGCCTGGTACACACGAGGTCCTGAGTTCAATTCCTGGCGAAAAAAAAAAAAGACAAAATTGAAAGCTTAGATAGATCACCTGAATATTTTTGAAGCCCTCGGTACACCCATGTGTTGTAAACTTCCTTTCCACATACATCAGCTCATGGTGCTACTACCAGCGCTGAGCATGGTGCTCCAGCCAGGCCCATACTTGAGACATACATATCCCATATCAAATGATCAGATGGTTAACATTTGGCAAATTATAGACAGCTTTATCACTTCCTTCTATTTGTGGTTTTGTCTTAATCTACATCTGTTCCTTTTACTTGAACATCAACCTACCTACTCGCCCCTCTAGAATAGCATGAAGGGCAGCAGAGCAGATGGTGTGGGTTGCCCCGGGCTGCACAGTGGTGAGCTCCAGACTTGGTGCCGAGGGTGAGAGGGCAGCGTCGGAAAGTAGAAAATTGCCTCAGTAGTCTGATGTCACATACAGTTGTATAAATGGCATTATGTCATTCCCAGAAACCAGAGTGAAGATGACCCCTGTCCTCCCCAGGGCTCTGGAAAGGTGCCCACTACAGATGACACATAGTTGGTTATGAGCAGGTGCTTCTCTGGTCACACTAAACTGTTCATTTGCGGCCGATCTCCCTTTCACCTGTATTTGTAATGCTGCATTTTGTTTCTTAGACATAGGAAAGGACAGAACATGTTCTGAAAATCTGTGTGAACATAACTGCACCCAGTTAAGTGGAGGAGGATTTATCTGCACTTGCAGAACAGGCTACAAAGCTGGTACTTCAGACAGAAACTCCTGTCAAGGTAGAGTATATTTTTCAGTGTTTGTTTATTTTTTTTAACCAATTTCCCTTTTTTAAACCACTATTTCATTCCTTTAGTGGGTTTAAAGTTAAGGTTCTCAGTCTTTAAATTGCTCAGCAATGCCAGTTGCTTTCTTCCTCTGCATCCGTGCCAGCTAGTACCTAGCTAAGAGCTCAGCAGTAGCTGATGCTTAGTAGGGTCCGTACCATGGAGATGAATGATGGATGCGTTGGTGATGATGGGCACTATGGATTAGCGTTGGAAGTCAAATTTGAAAACAAAGTGAGCACAAGGCATGCTCTCTTCACCTGATGTCTGCCGACATGGCTTTACTGCACTAATACTTAGATGATTCGGAAATCTGTTCCCTGGGGTGTGGCCCTGGCAGGCAGTGAGATGGTCAGTGATGAGTACGATTTTAGTGTCTCTATTATATGAATTTACTGTGTCTAATTCAAAAGTCATGTTTAAGTGATTAGAAGAATTCTTTGGGGTACTTAAACTTTTAAGAACTTAACTGAAAATCCAAGTCAGTGGCTCTAGTTTCTAAAGCTAGTTAGCAGAAGCAAACTGATACTAAGCAACACTCCACAGATGCTTTCTGAGGCAAAGATTTGTTTGGCCACAGCCTCCTCAGCAGAAGCAAGACTTTGTATCATTTTGGGCAAGGTCTCAGATGGGTGCTGCCTGGTGCCACAGCCCTGGTTTAGCACTCACCAGATACATCTCTTTACAAAATACTTAGCCAGCCTGTTTCTTCCAGTGTAAAATGGAGCTAGTGGCATGTCTTCATTGTGTTATAAAGAAACAAATTCACCTACTGTAGTCCCCTGTGGGTATACTTTGAAGATCCTGAAACTTATGCATACTATGCCACACTCTGTATGTTTTCTCTGAAACGTATACCCAAATCCTATACAATGTCTTTTCTTATCTGTACATGTCAATAATAAGTTTAACTTACAAATTAAGCACAATAGGAGGTTAACAATAACTAAAAATAAAATACAATCATTATAACAATATACCGTAATAAAAGTTACGCCACCATGAAAAAAATAAATTGCTCAGCTATTACTTTTTTAAAAATTAATTTTATTGAGAGACTAATCGCAATGAGACAGTTTCAAAGCAGATTAGTAGGACAGTTTCAATAACTAATACATTGCATATTGTTCTCTTCATAGTGGTTATTCATAGTATAAGATGCAGACATGATACCCTGTCCAAACACTATTAGTACAAATCTTTCTTCTCATTGAATTAAGAGAAAGTAGCTGTTTATCTGTCTTGTTTTGTATATACAGATACAAAATGGTCCTTCATTTTTACTTGAAGTTGTTCTGCTTCTGTAAAAGCACTGTCCTCCACTTCCAGTGTCAGTGATAGTCCAGGCCTCACAGTTTGAGAGCGTATGCAGCAGCACCTGACACTTAATAAATGTTCCCAGAACGCTGGTATGGTTGCTTGTTTGCAGCGGCACGCTCATGGTCCTCATTGGTTATGTCTGAGGATTTGAACAGGAACAGATGTTGTATATTTGGTTTTATTTTGCTTGTAGATGTCAATGAATGTGAGGAGTTTGGAGTCTGTCCCCAGATGTGCCAAAACACCAAAGGGAGTTATGAGTGCTTCTGTGCGGATGGCTTCAGATCCATGAGCACCCGCCAGGGCGAGCGGTGTGCGGCTGACGGTACGAGGGGTGCCTGGGGTCAACTGGCTTTTGGGGGAGTCACCACTGATGAGTGCGTCTTGCCCCTACCCAGCCTCTCCTTCCTTCTGTCCCCTTCCCTGCCAGCTTAAGACACTAACTACAACCTCCTCACAACTAGGAATTAACACAAGAGTTGGGCATCATATATTATTCTGGATTTAGCCTCTAGTCCGCCTTGATAATGAAAGCTTCAAACAGTGGCCAGGACGTTACCTCCAGAAGCCTGCCAGTGGGTGGTCACCAATACAGGGAGCTCCACAAGCTCTTCTGGCTTCCACTCCACTGAGGTCAGGACCTGAGGCCACATGACCCAAGACAGACACAAAACACAGTGAACTGGAGCGAAGCCAGGGCGCTGCTGCTGCTGTGTCCCAGCAGACAATGGCCTGCTGAGCAAAGTCAGGGTGGAGTCTGGTGTTTCAGGACTTAAGTCATTAGTCTCATGTTTTAGGTTAATGCCAGCATCTAAGAATTAGGCGAGATAGAAAGCAGAAATGAGTACTAGACAGGAAAGACTAAATAAATAAATGATATTCTATTCTAAATTTCAGAGGGCGAATGCAAATCAGCATATCCTAATTAAAGGGGGATGGGCCTTTATTTTGAATTTGAAGCTTGTAGTGGAGTATAAAAAACCTGGGTAAGAAAATAGTCTGTTATTGTATAAATTAAGGGCAAGGTAGGCCAAAGTGGCTCTTTAATATATTCGTGTAAGTTGGGCTTTGAAAGCATACATTTGACTAGCATACTTTAATATTTTTTCTCCACCATTTTTGACAGTGAAGAAGAACTAAGGAAGGCATTTAAACAGTTGGTCTGGTAAAATTAAGCAGCAAATTTAAAAAATGTTTAAATCTCTTAACTAAGACGAGAACTGAAATAAAGTAGACTATTCCTATGAAATGTAGTATTAAGATGGAGAAAATATGTGAAGTGAGCTTTTAGAAGTGATTAAAGTGGGCTGAGGAGATAAGTGTGGCAGCCTAAGCACCTGCCTGGTCAGCGCAAGGATCCAGGTTTGTTCCCTGATACTGCACACTGTGCTGGCCACTGAAACTGGTGTGGTGACACACGCTTGTAATCCCAGCACCGGGGAGGCTGAGACAGGAGGATCACTAGGAGTTTGAGCTGCATAGAGAGGCCCTGTACTAAATAAATAAATAATTTTTTGAAAAGTTACTTAAATTACACTTGATTGACATTATAAGTCAATCTAAAAAATTCTTGGGCCGGGGAGATGGCTCAGTGGAATAAGTGCTTCCCTGGCAAGCACAAGGACCTGAGTTCAATCCTCAGTTCCGCAAAAAAAAAAAAAAAAAAAAAAATTCTTGACAAGCATCTTGGGATGAGCTAATTTTTAAAACATCAAGAAAAGAGCTGTTCTTTTCTTCACTAGCTAGGATCTAAGTTGGGTCATGGAAATGATTAATTTCTAAAGGCATTACCAAATCTGTCAGTGAAGAGTAAGGAAAGAGAACTTTCTGGTAAATTTCTGGTGACTCTGTGAATGTTGTATTTCTTTCTGTTGGTTTTAATGTCAGTGAATAGTGGGGGAAAATGGCGATACTGTGTATCCACCTCCACCTTGCTTGAACCTCCACTCAGGACAAATGATAAAGAATTGATAGTACCCCTCAAGAAGGTCAAGTCGCCGCCTGAAATAGGGACAAGAATGTCCAGAGCCAGGGTTTTGCAGTCCAGTGGATAAGCAGCTCTATTTATTAACAGAGACAGTCCGATTCTTAGCAAACCTCATGGCTTTTAAGAGAGGAGAGGGTACCTGCTGGGCACTTTGTCTCCTGCTTTCTATTTTTATTAAAGTTCAGGTAGAACGCAAATAGACCAGGTAGCCTTTTTGTTTGTTTGTTTATAGGAAACCCTCCTTTGTTGCTACTGTCTGAAAATGTTCGAATCCGAAAGTATAACATTTCATCTGAGAAGTTCTCCGAGTACCTGGAAGACGAGGAACATATCCAAGCTATTGATTATGATTGGGATCCTGAGGGCACAGGCCTCGGTGAGTATCAAGTTTGGCCTGTGTTGTTAATGGCAATTGGCTTGCTTGAGTTTTGGAGTTTTCAACTTTATTGAGTTCAATTTGGAAGAATTTTTTTTTTTTCTTTTTGAAGACAGGGTCTTTTATGTAGTTCAGGCTAGTCTTGAACTGTGTATCTTAGATTGTCCTTGAACTCACAGCTAGCTTCAGCCTCCTGAGTGCTGGGATTACAGGTGTGCATGAAGGGATTTTTTTTTGCGGGGGGGGGGGGGGAATTTGTTTTTTAATAGATAGGTTTTGTTGCATGAATGTAAGGGAAGCTCCTCCTATCTAGCATGCTCTCGATGCCTCGCGGTGAACATATTTCATATTTCCATGTGTTTTGCTATGTCCTTGTCCTTACTCAGACAGTTCTGTTCTGCTTTGCCTTATACACTTGGGAAATGTCCACTGAGACTTCAGACTTCCAGTTCAGCAATGCCCTCCCCCCCACCCCGTGACACCTGTAATTCCTCCTGACAGTTTCGCGGATGCTCACACAGGAACCTGTAGCACTTCGTTCATTCTTCTGCTAAAGCACATGCTACCTTGAGTTGTGGAGCTCGTTATCCATGTATCTTTCTCCCTATCTCCAAAGCATGTGCTCTTGGGAGCAGAGATCATATGTAATTCATCTCTAGTCTGTATCTAATTCAAGACTGGCACCTGACCTAACACCAAGCGCAGTGTATGTCATAGCTGCTGAGAAAATACAGATGATGGAGAAAATGAGTAATGCCTATTGTTGAGCAGCTGCGGCTCTGTATGGTATGGGGGAGGTGACAGTAGGGTAGCGGTCAGAAAACTTACCGTCTATCTGTATAAACTTGTGTCTTCATCTACTACATTTATGACCTTAAACATTTATAATAATTTCCTGGATCTTCATTTTTTAAAAATACAAGTGGTAATCACATTCTTCCACCATTGATGGTTGTTTTGAAGACTGAATGAAATAATTAATGTGAAATGCCTTGAAAACTACTACTAATCTCAAATTGATCATTGTATTTTTATATATTCATGAAATAATGAAAGGAAATAAACTTTTCAAGAATGGTGTATATCGGGCCAGGGATATAGCTCAGTGGTATAAACACCTGCCTGGCAAGCACAAGGTCCTGAGTTCAATCCCCAGTACCACAAAAAACAAAACAAAACAAAAAAAAAACCCCAAAAAACAGAATGGTGTATATCTTGGAAGCAATAGGGAATATCCCATATATGCTTAAAAAGTCATCGAGGCTTTTAAAACACCTCCTGTGTACCGAGCATGGCTCATTTATTCCTACTTATATTGAATATAGATTGAATATATTCAATATATAATATATAGATTCAATATATTATAAGAATATATATTGAATATAAATTCTCAACAGCCTGACCTGGTTTATCTATGCATTCTGGGTTGTACACTAGACCTTGAACCTAATAAGAATAAGTAGGCTGATGACCAAATATATTTCAATGAATAACTTTGAGGGAAAGAAGGGGGGGAACATATATATATATATGTCAAGACACTATCAGCTGAGGGCCAGCCAGATAGCTCAGCAGATTAAAGTACTTGCTTAGGCAGACACAGGGGCTGGGGGTTCGATGCCTACCCCCCTGGGGTGTGCTGAGTGGTGATTGAGACTGGGCGTGGTGGTGTGCGCCTGTAATCCCAGGACTTGGGAGGCTGAAAAACAGGAGGATCACTACAAGTCCAGTCTGTGTAGTGAAACCCTATAGACCCTGCACGAAATGCATTTTTTAAAAAAGAAACTATCAGCTGAAGTATTTGCACACAATAGCTTAAATTTGATGAGTTTTTATGTTGCACTGTATTGATATAATTAATTTAAAAACAGTAAAGAAGGGGCCAGGGAGATAGCTCAGTGACATCAGTGCCTGCCTGGCAAGCACAAGGTCCTGAGTTCTATCCCCAGTATCAAAAAAAAAAAGAAAAAGAAAAGAAAGAAAGAAAAAGAACATTGAAGAAGAAAAAGAAGAGAGGTCAGTAACACACATTACTTCACTTGATTAGACTCCAGTTCCTTCCTTCCCTGATGCTCTTAACATGAACCTGACCACATGTTCTCCTCTCCAGGTGTCATCTATTACACTGTGCTTGCTGAGAGCCCCAAGTTTGGTGCTATCAAATGTGCCTACATCCCCAATTTTGAATCTGGCCGCAACAATCCCACACATGAAGTTGACCTGGGCCTGAACTATATCATGCAGCCAGATGGATTGGCAGTGGACTGGGTTGGAAGGTAATTTTGCCATACATCACCCTCTGGCCCATTCTGGCTTCCTGGCCAGAATGCTCTGCTGCTCACTGGGCCGCTTGAGCTCAGTGGACCCAGATGTGGTGTGCTTGGCCATTGGTGCAGCCCAGCAGGGCTTGGCTCGCCCTGGCCCTGGCAGCCACCCCTGCTGACCCCCAGGTGTCACTTTTATTACACCATTTCTTGTATTTCGTGTGTGCTGTGGAAAGGTTTGGGAGAGTACTTTGCAAGATTCTTTATGACATCAACAACACCTTTGCTTGCCAGCACCATTCTGGGTTCCAGAATTGACTTTCAGTATGGTGGCACATGGTTCATTTTGTGAAGAGCTGAGACAACTTCACCATTCTCCAAGCCAAGCAATTATAAACATTATTTTCTAGTGTAATTATTTTGCAGAAGAACAACTAGAAATTTAACTTTTCTGTGGGTTTAAGTTAATAGAGGTGTCAGCTCTGTTCTTCCCTTTTGGACCTTCTGGTGCTCTCTGACCTTAGTACTCTTCCAGGAACCAGGGCCACACGATCCCTAGGTTAGGGCCATACGCCAGTCATCGTCAGATAGGTGCACTGATGCAAATAGGCTAGAAAAGGTGTTCGGCTCCTTCGAGGAGGAGGCTTGCATAGGAGTGGCTCTTCTTGGAGGCTTCACACAGTGGGGCTCAAGCAATTATACAATCCTGTGTGGCCTTAAAAATGAACATAGCATGGGAAAGTGCCTGAGAGCGAAGCCTTGGCGGTCCCTGCCCTCCCGGAGCAGAGCTGTGTGTGGTGTAAATTCGTTTTCACCTTGTACCAAGCTCATCTGGTATTCTTGAAGACCTGAGCTTCTCTGAAGAAGTTAATTAGGCCTCTCCATGCTGCAGGCTAATGGGGACTGCACCACCATGCTCTCAGTCAGGAAAAAGGAGCTCAGGGAATTGTTGCAGAAGTTCAGAACTTGAAACTCTAGATGTAAATACCTCTTCCTAAAAACCAATTGCAGAGTGCCAAGTCTTTTCTTTACTGGAAGCTTTACCTCCTTCTCAGCCTTAATGAGTGAGGGAATTAAGAACACAAGAGCGCTCTTTCTCCTTTATAATTGATATGTGGAGCTTTAGAAGTAGAAATGAGAGTCAGGTAGCCTTGCTGAGTTTGTTGCTTAGGGACATTATTTCCGCTCATCATTGGAGCTCATGCCAGCTCCCTGTCATCCCAGTTGGGCTCTTTGAAGAGGAGGACATAGACTCATGGGCAGTAGGAATGAATAGACGAGCTCAGCAATGCCCATGACTTATATGCCAAAGCACTTTTCTCATAAGAATGCCAGTCTGACAGCTGGGTCCACACCATAACGGAACATGGTTGATTCTGCTGCATTGGCTGAGCAGGCAGGAGACCCCTGTTCTTCACTCTTCCATGAGTAACCTTCCAGAGATGTTCTTGTGGCTGAAGAAACTGAGCATTCCTGACAGAGGGGCTCTGCTCTATCCTGCTGGCCAGAACTTCAGAACCAGTTTTCTCACCCTTCTTCCCCGGAAACGATGAGTTTGGACTTCCCTAGTGTTTAACTTTGTCTCTCTAAATTCAGACATATTTACTGGTCAGATGCCAAGAACCAACGCATTGAGGTGGCCAGACTTGATGGAAGGTACAGAAAGTGGCTTGTCACCACCCAGCTGGATCAACCAGCTGCCATTGTTGTGAATCCCAAACTAGGGTAAGTGCTCGAGGGGATCTTTAGTGTTCTAGGTGTTTCCTACTGGATTCTTGTAAAATTCTAAGTGCTATTCTACTGAGCTACTTCCCTGGCCCCTGTTTAGTGGTTTTTTTTTTCCTAGTTGTGCTGAAATTGCCCTTTGAATTTTTTTTTTTCTTAGAATGGACTCCATAACTTTTTTTTCAGATGGGGACTTGGTACAAAGTTCAGACTGGCCTTGAGCTCACTTTGTAGCCCAGGCTGGCCTCAAATTAGCAACAATCTTCCTGCCTCATCCTCCATAGGGCAGGGATTACAGGTGTGTGCCACCATGCCCGACTGTCTCCATAATTTTTTTTTTTTTTTCCAGAACCAGGGATTGAACTCAGGCCCTTGCGCTTGCCAGGCAAGCGCTTATTCTACTGAGCTATCTCCCCGGCCCCTATGCTATCTCCCTGGCCCCTTATAATTTTTTAATAGAATTATAATCTTTCCTGGGATCATTACAGGTCCAACAATTTCTGGTGGAGAAATTCCTTTGAGAACATATCTAAAACCTTTCTGGTCACATGAATTCTTTGTTTTAAGTGAAAGTTTCATTGCAATTGTTTTTCCATTCATTTTGATGTTTTGAAAAATAACGTATTGGCAGGTGTGGTAGTGCATGTCTGTAATTGGTCATATTTCCATTGGACATAATTAAACATCTTTAAACTGTGCAAATACATAAAATATGTAAATATTGTCAAGGTGTAGAAACGGCCCAATTTATAGTTTATCTGTAAATCTCCTTAGTGTGAGAACTAGTTTTGTCATTTTCCCCTGCATTTCAAACCATTACTTTGGATATTTCATTTAGCCAGTGGATAGTAAGGCTTCTTAAACATTTTTTTGAGTAGTCCCAAATACTTCCCTCTTCAGACAGAACCAGTATGTTCCTTTCTAGGCATGCCAGATGTCAATATATAAAACACATGAGCTATTATTATCATTAAGTTCTAGTCTATATTTTAAGTTATACAATCAGAAATACAGCATTGACACTGGAAAAATACTTGCCCGGTAAGATTAGCCAGGTGATTTTGACTTATCTGTTTTTTTGTTTTATTTTTTGGACTTGTCTTGACATGACGCTTGCTTCTGTCTCACATGTGTGACATCCTGGGGGCACAGAGGTGCTCCTTGTCTTTGGTGAAGTAGACATTGTCGCTTCACATCCAGGCCTCCAGGAAGAGCTGCTGATGCATGACAGTGTTGGCCGCGCTTGGGATTACAGGGATGCTGCTCTGGGGGCGACTCTGCAGTGAGCACAATTTCTGTTCCAGGCTTATGTTCTGGACCGACCAGGGGAAAGAACCGAAGATTGAGTTTGCCTGGATGAATGGCGAGCATCGAAGCGTCCTGGTTTCCAAGGATCTGGGCTGGCCGAATGGCCTTTCTATTGATTATTTGAACAATGATCGGATCTACTGGAGTGATTCCAAGGAGGATGTTATTGAAACCATAAAACACGATGGGACTGATAGGAGGATCATTGTAGAGGAAGGTTAGAGATGGTTTAGCATTTCATATACCACATAGTGAATTTCTAGTCTCCTTACCAATGTGCTTATGAAAGAATCCTAAAATGGTTTATATAGTTTCTTAGATACCTGCTCCTTCACTTCCAGCTATGGAATTGAGTGTAATTATATGGAAATAAACCCATTAGCAGTAGTTAAGTTTTTATTGCCCCTTTTATATAATTTTTTTTCTTTTATATAATTTTAAGAAATGCTTCTAAGGAGCAGATATTGAAATAGCTGAGAGGTGGCATTCATGTGTTTGTCAGTGTCTACTGGGTGTACTACTGGAAACATGTAGACGGAAATGAATATTTTGTTATGCAGACTGCGAAATTGCAATGGCTCAGTATGTATCACATTTTTCCTTTCTGACCAGTGGTATCTTATGTTCAAAGGAAATAATTTAGGACTGGTGAGATAGCTCAGTGGACTAAGCATTTGCTTTGGCAAACACAGGGACCAAGGTTCGATTCTGGGTCCTGCATGCTAAGCTGCCCCCACCCCCCCATGCTGAGCCAGAAACCAAGTCTGGGCGTGGTGGCACACGACTATGATCCCAGTGTTGGGGAGGCTGAAAACAGGAAGGAGGATCACTGTGAGTCCGAGCTGCGTAGTGAGACCCTGTACCCAATACATAAATGAAAGGAAAAAAAGGAAATAATTTTTCTGAAAATAAAATGGGCAGCTTGAAAGTTAGCTAGTAGCCTATACATTGGTGGTGAGCAGTGTACACTGACTTCATTTGATTTCTGTCTCTGTGATCTCCCAGAGTAGTACCTTTGTGGCCAGGCATACAGAAAAGTGGCCTTGAAATTCCTAGCGGCTCAAGGGTGCTGCGTCAAGTATTTATTCAAGCAGAGTAACTTGAGGCACTGATATGGTGCAAGGGTCTTTTCAGTAACCTGGTTTTGTTTTCTTTTTCTACTGGGGTTAAATAGCCATGAAGCCCTATAGTCTGGACATCTTTGAAGACAAGGTGTACTGGGTGTCTAAGGAGAAGGGAGAAGTGTGGATGCAAAATAAATTTGGGCAAGGAGTGAAAGAGAAAATGCTGGTAGTGAACCCATGGCTTACTCAAGTTCGAGTCTTCCATCAACACAGATACAATCTGTCAGGTAACTGCCACCTTTGCAATAAGATATTCATTATCTAGAAATTTCTATTTCAAAATAGTGGTTATAGTGTTGGAAAAGGGTACTGGATAATAAAAGGCTTTTCTTTCGGTCCGTGCAAGGGTTGTGGGTGTGTTTGCTTGTGTGGCTGAATGTTTAACCATTTTGCCTGAAGGACAGTAAAATTGGAAGTCAAATGAAATTACACAAACCACCGAACAGTAAGAATAACTTAAAATGCTTCAGTCTGCCTTGTTTAGAATTACGCACGTGTACTTCTGGACCACAGAATGCAGCAGGTGCCAGACCCCTGCTAAGTGTGAGTTGGGTTAACAAGTCACAAGATGGGTCTCAAGGAGGTCAAAATAGTCTTGTCATTGTAAAACTAACAAGACCAGGTTACTTAGATTGTCTTGAGGCTCGTGAGCCATGGATGAAGACTGTCAGGCATAGGCCTTTCTGTTTGCTCGCCACTTCCTCATTTCCTGCTACTTCAGGTGACCTGCATCCTAATTCATATTTCAGCATTGTCCAGAACAAGGTGAAAGAGGCAGGACATTTTAAAGTGAGGAAATAAAACAGCTTTCACTAAATTCTGTGTGTCAGATTCTCTCTTTAGTATTAACACATGTCTGTGGACCTCTACAGAGGAAAGTCTGGGGTGTCTCAATCAGCTAATGCTCGGAGCCCCTTTTGAACTGAGGCTGAGGCCTGACATGCCCAGCATTTAGTCTGGACCAACAGCTCTCACATGTTGGTGTGCATCAGAGTCATCTGGAGAGTTTGTTCATCCTAGATTGCCGGGCCCCACCTGTGGGGTTTCTGATTCATTATACCTGAGGTGGCCCAACAACTTGCATGTCTAACAAGTTCCCAAGCAATGCTCTACTGATGCTTCAAGGACATGTTTTGAAAATTGCTATTCTAGTCCCCTGCTACTCAACATGTAGGTCGAAGATCAAGAACATTGGTTTCCTCCAGGAATTGGTTAGAAATATAGGTGCTCAGTCCTTACCCCAGACCTTCTAAGTCAGGATCTGAATTTTAATGATTCCCCTGGTAGGTAGACTATCACTGTGACCAGTCCAGATTCGATGGATGTCGAGTCTTGGTATAGTATTTGGTCTCACTGGTCTCTTTTGAACCGTCTTCAGCAGCTTAGCACTAATGAGATTTTGAGGTAGTAGTGAACTAGATAGAAACTCACCTACCAAATCTGCCAGGCAACAGAGATATGATGCCAATGGAAAATATAAGTGGTATGGAAATGGGGTGGAAGATCTAGGGATGCCTTGGCAAGGACGGTAGAATACCTGAGGGTAAGCAGCCGGGAAGCACATGGGCTGGAGGTGTTGGGGGGCTACCTGGGCTCTGCCATCACTTGACAGATCCTTAGCTGTGGTATTCATCTCCTGTTAGGACTTAATTGCTTATTGTCATCTGCTTTCCAGTGTCAAACCCTTGTAAAAACATCTGCAGCCATCTCTGTCTCCTGAGACCTGGAGGATACAGCTGTGCCTGTCCACAAGGCTCCAGCTTTATAAGGGGGAGCATTACAGAGTGCGATGCAGGTAGGAGCATTGTCTGCATCACTGTGGGGCCTTCAGGAGCCCGAGGGATCCCTGGATAATGAGTCCTCTGAAGAACAGAGTGGGAGGAACTAGAGAGAGGGAGGACCTCTGTGGAAAGCAGGCCCCAGGCTCCAGACAGAAAACACCCAAAGTTCCAGTGACTTCTGAGAGGTGTTTGCTGCCACCTACAGGGCGATAGATCTATTATCCCTAGAACTACAGTCATTGCAGTGCAAAGAACCAAGACTGAGTTTTCTCTTTTTCTTTCCCCCACTCTGGATCCCAGAATTCACTCAGCCTTAACTTAACTTGACCTGACAAAAGCTTATATGGTGTAGAGGGGAGGGCTGGAGGATGCTCAGTTTTTCTCACAAGATCACTTTGGAATTTGGCAACTGAAAAAGGGGCCAAATTCTCAAAGATACCTGAAGAATCAAACTGGTTTAATTTTTATTTCCTTTTAGCAAGACCTTTTTTCAAGGACTCTTCTAAATTAAGGTGTTAATAAGTCACAGGGAACAACTAGTGTCCCTAACTAGTACCCTCTGCTTACTAATCATGTTTAAAGAAAAATCACTTTGCTGTCCATCCTCCAGCCTGTTTTATGGCTGACACCCTGGGGCCTTGCAGTCTCCCCTGATGGGAAAATGAAGAGTGGAATCACCTTCCACCAATAGGGGGCGCAAGTGGTTTTAAACAAAGATCTTTTTTTTCTTTTT